CCAAAACCCCCATGAACCCTCAATGTTTTTCTCTCCCATTTAAGAGGTTCAAATCATCCTTCAAGATTCATGGACTAAAAGATTAATTGTGAATAAAACACTACAATAGAAAAACAATTGTTGAGTAGTTGATGCCTCGATAGAAAGACTTAGAAACTATCTCCAGAACAACTGCAAGAAATTGCAGCTTGTGAATTTGATTGTTCGCCTTCTGATTGTGAAAGATAACTGAAAATTGAAAGTGAAAATCAACAAAAAGATGTAGTAGAACTTGTTAAATCAAGCACTAGTTGGGTACAATTTTTTTTTTTTTTTTAGTTGGCAGTTGTGTAAAAAAAAAACACTGAATCAGTTGTTGAATTTTGTTATTCATCTTCATTTAATGCTTTATGATGGGGCGTGGGAACATAGTTTATAAGTTTCTATTCAATAATTTATATTGCTTTGGCATTACAAAACAATAGACAAGGGGCGAACACGCCACACGGTGCGGTTATGATACAGGAAAGATAAATTAAGCACCACAAAATTAACTAAGAGGGGACAGAGTCACAGTAAGACAAGAAGGTTATGATATGAATGTACCTTGGGAAACTATATATGGTGCGAATTTATTAATTCATAGGATCACTAAAATTATGAAATACAATAAAGCTTATGCATTTTCTCTAGGTCACACTCGCACATGTACAAAGGCCAAAGGATCAAGAGAGAATTAAATGGGCTTGCAAAGGTTGAATTTTGTGCTCCAAGCCTCCAATATAAGATACACAAAACTCGTCCCACATTGACAATGTGAGACGCATCCATCTTCAACATTTATCAACTATCCAAAATGAACTTATTCCTGTATTAGTATTTAGTAGGACTAGGAATCCTTGGTGGAGATCTAAAAATATAATCACGAGTACCCAACACTAATTAGTCCAGTGTTGTTGAGATATATATATATATATATATATGCATGTAATTTCTTAAATTTTATTTATTGTTTTCAATTCCAGTACTTAAGATATTGTGGTTAATTAGTTTATTTTTTTTTAACAAAACATATATATTAAATTGATCTTGTAATTAATATAACATTTTCTTAAATAATCCATTATTTTATTATTTTATTGTTTTATAGGTGATGTTTGGAATATTTTTTTTTATTTTATTTTGTATATGTTTCTATAACATGTTTTTGTAAACCTATTGGACCAATATATAAAAGATATTATCTTATGCCATTTTTTAAGTTAAAAATTGTTATTAATATAAGTTTATGAGTCATTTCATAAGATATTGTGCACACGTTCTCTATATTTAATTCAGTGTTTAAATAAAAACATAAATATTAATTTAGAGAAATATAAATATAAATTTTTTTATGTATGAAATATAGGTGCAAATCAAATATCGTCAAAAAACTGTTAATTTATATTTTAATAAAAAATAGTAACAAGGAAAGTTTAGAAAGAAAAGACATAGATATATAATTTTAGAATATTAAGAGAGAGAAAACATTGTATGGATATATAATGTAAATAAACTAAAAAGAGAAAAGAAAAATAAAAACGTCACATTTTTTTAAAAATTAATCAACTATTTTTAGTAAGTGATAATTATGTTATAATAATACTAATATGTTGCCCGTATGCACAGAAAATAATATTAAATAATAATTATAAATAGAACTTGAGTTTGAGTCACTCAATAGAGGAAGTGAGAATTATTTCTTTGAAGAGAGGAAGAAAAAAATATAACTATAAATAAGAAGAGTATAAAGAATATTAAATAATAACTATAAATTAAAGATGTGGGGTCAAACAATGTAAAATTATCTTGTATAAGAGAATATAAAATTGTGGGTTCAAAATATTAAATATACCTGAATTATTATATTAATATATGTAAAATTATCTAAAATTTTATGTATTATTTTTTAAAGTTGTGAAGTCACCTACAACTTTCCTAAACCTTTTTGGAAAGAAAACATATCTGAAAACATTTAAAATTAGCATCTTGTAAAGAAAACATGTCTTAAAATATTTAAATTTAACATTTATTATGTATATGTGAATATGTATATATAGATCGAAAATGTAAAAAAAAAAGTGTAAATAATTTGTTTAAAGTATCTAAAATATTATAAGCCTAAATAAATACATTATCTCACGTTAAAGTTTTGAGTGGAGATTTAGATGATACAAGGACATGACGTTACTTCCACTTACAAAAATATCTAGCTATTTACAAATTCAAAAATTCAACCAAATTTTTAATATCAAATATGAAATAAAATTAAAAATTTGGGAGTTTTTAAAGTATAAGACATTCGAATTTTCTAAATTGCATATTGTATGCAATCCTATTCGAATTTTAATTTAAGGTTTGAAAAAATAGTATTCAAAATTGGGAGAATCTCAAAATTTTAGGATGTAATGTGGATTGATTACTTTGTATGGCAATAAAGAGCTACCTTATTTAAATTGGTATTCAATTGGAGAGTTTTAATAGCAACAGAAATCTTATAAAAAATTGTTCCGATTGTTATTTAAATTGGTATTGTTTGTCCTATTTTTATTGCGTTCTTCGTTGTTATTTTTTCTTTATTTTTCCCTTGTTTTAGTTTTCGTTGGTTTTTAGCTCTTTTTGGTGTTTATTGTTTGTTTTCCTTTATTTTATCTTTCTTTATGTTTTTAGTTTGTTTTTCCGAATTTCTACGTTTTTCTCGTCCATGGTGATGTGCAGGTCAGGTACCTCAGTTGATTATAATTTAAAGGAGAAATATTGTGGGTGAGCTTAATTTTGTAGAGGGATGTGTTGCCATCACACAAGAAAAAACGGAATCAAATTCCGAGTCCAAACGGGCTCGAACGAACCCGAGATGCGAAGTCGTGCAAGCTGGCCTGCAGCTCAAGCCCCAGACCTTCACGCCGCGCGCCACGCCCGTGGAGCCCGGCACGCCATGGCAATCCACACCCGTTGCGCCGCGAAGCCCCGCCACGCCTGCGACATCTGCTCCCTCCATACCGCGCTGCCCTTCACGCCGCGGCCCAGCTCCAGCCTCATGCCACGCGCCATCTCGCGGCGCCTACCATGCCCCGACAGAGAGTCCCGCATAGCAGCCCGTCACGCCGCAGCACATGCTACCCTCACGCTGCGGTACAGCCCGCGACGCCCGTCACGGACCAACAAAGCATATTAGCATGTCATGATGTTAATCATTCTTGAATTTTATCTGTATAAAAATATGTTTTAAGGATTGAAATGTATTTGGCTTGTATGTATTGTTGAGCACCATTTTTCCACATTTCATGGACCGAATTTGAGCACTATTTTGGCCTGTATGATGCTTATTTTTTTGTTCTACAGTGTAGTCAATGTTTAGAGTTTTTAATTATCTCTGTGATTTTTTATGAACAAGAATATTGTGATTTGTGAACAATTGAATAACTTTGTATTAATGATTTATTATTTTCTTCATTTTCAGTTTAAATGTCAACAAATAGCAGAAAAGATATCGGCTGGAAATATGGAATTAAAGTAGATGGGGAGAAAATCATTGAATGCAAATTTTGCCATCACAAATCAAATGGAGGCATTACTCATCTAAAAGAACATTTAGCACAAACCAGAAAAGGTGTTTCACCTGGTGATCAAGTTCTAGGTGAGGTGAGCAAGGAAATTAGAGACAGTCTTCAAACTTTCAAGACTCTCAAAAGCAAGAGGAATGAATTGCTACGTAAGATGGGCGAGGGTCCAGCGGGCAATAGATTGTCTCAATTTATTTCTGATACGGACGGGGTTTCACAAGGAGGAAGTAATAGCCATTCTAAAGGCACCGGCACATTGGACAAGTTCGCCCAGACAACTATAAATTCAGCATACAAAAAAGAATTAAAAAGAGATATTGATCGTCGAGTTGCTCGTTTTGTGTACTCTGCGGGACTTTTCTTCAATGTCGTCAGCGATCCTTATTGGTTACCAATGATTGAGGGAATTGCGGAATATGGTAGAGGGTATAAACCTCCTTCCATGCATGAACTAAGAACGCGATTGCTTAAATCAGAGGTAAGTGACATTAATATTATTTATGAGGAGCACAAAAAAATTTGGAAAACATATGGATGTACTGTAATGTCCAATGGGTGGACGGATGGGAAGAACAGAGCTTTGCTAAATTTTATCGTGAATAGCCCTGCCGCACTTTTTTTTTTTTTCTTTTCCCATTGATGTTTCTGACTCTATCAAAAATGGTGAATTGATTTTCAACTATCTTGATGGCATTGTGAATAAGATAGGGGAGGATAATGTCATCAAAGTTATCACCGATAATGCTATTAACTGTGTGAAGGCAGGGAAAAAGTTGATGACGACACGAAAATCTTTATGGTGGACACCTTGTGCGGCACATTGCATTGATCTCATGTTGGAATCAATTGCAAAATTGAGTAGATCTTCATATACGATTGAAAAGGCTAAAAGAGTTGTGAAGTTTATTTATGGTCATGACGCTATCCTTCCTTTGATGAGGAAGCACTTTGCCAATGCATTCTTAACTCTTCAAAGCATGTACAAACAAAAAAGGCCTCTTGAAATTATGTTTGCTTCTGAAGAATGAGTTAGTTCTCCACAAGATAAAAAAGTTGAAGAAAAAATTATCAAAAGAATTGTCGTCAATGATCCCGATTTTTGGCCGCATGTAGTATTTTGTGTTAAAAGCATTGTGCCCATTGTTAGCGTCTTAAAGGAGGTTGATTCGGAAGAGAGGCAAGCTATGGAATATATTTATCAGCTCATCAGAAGGGCAAAGGAGATCATTAAGTTTAATTTCAAAAAAAAAAAAAAAAAAAAATATGACAATTTGGAGAAAAATAGATGATAGATGGGCTCCACAACTTCACCATCCCCTACATGCAGCCGGATATTATTTGAACCCGCAATTGCGGTATGAAGATTCTTTTTGCAGTACTTTCGAAGTTAAAGATGGATTGTATACATGCATGGACTGAATGTTATCGCTCGCTGATCGTCTTCAAGCTGATATTCAATTGAATTTTTACGACAATGCTCAAGGAAAATTTGGAAGTCCAATTGCTAAAAAGTCCAGAAGGTTGCATTCTCCAGGTATAATATCCATAAATATAGTTTATTTTTTTCATGCATTTTTTACGGCTTTAAATAATTATTGAATATATTTTTTTAGCAAAATGGTGGGAACGATTTGGAAGCAAAACACCCGAGCTTATGAGATTTGCTATACGGGTTCTTAGTCTTACTTGTAAGCTTCGGGATGTGAAAGAAACTGGAGCACATTTGAGTCGGTAATTATTATTATTATTATTATTATTATTATTATTATTATTATTATTATTATTATTATTATTATTTTTATTTTTATTTGTATGAACTGTTAGTGTTATATACTGAAAGCTTGGCTTTGCATATTATTACACATTTGCCCTTTATGAATGAGAATCATGTTAGATTAAACAAGTTCTACGTTCTATTGTTCTGCACTTAGATGGAGTGGGTCGTCATCGGACGAACCGAAGATCACTCTATCATTTACTTGCGAACAAGAATAGTTGTTCACAACCTAGATGGACATGAACACTCCATCCGAACGGTTGTAGTGTCAACTGTACAGTTTGTCTTGACTGATTAGTTGCACTAGTACATTTATGTATTGAACAGGATCCCCGAGAGGAGAAGTTCATTTTATACTGATCGTCGTAAATGAACTAGGCCTCGGTTAATTACTGCGTTCTCTTAACCCGTAAGATATTAAACAGGCAGATATGTATAATATATATTACTTTAATTCACATGGGTGAGGTTCAGTTCGTTGGATTAATATTCCTACTATTTTGGGTAATATTATTATATATAGGATGTGCTGTTAGGATATTTACGGTCACCATGTGCGTTAGTTTGATGATGTCCCTGGAGTGAGTTCATGAAGGATTGTTATGCTAAACCCTGCAGGTGGATTAAGTTCTGGCATAATAAGAATGTGATGAACGAGCGCTAGCTTCGGTGAAATAATAATAAATTAATTAATTCTTGATTGTCAGTAATCAAATTAATTAATGAACATTATATCTTAAACGTGAGGAGGTAAATCGAGTAATTATTATTGGAGTCTCAAATGTAATTTGGGCTAGGAAAAGGGAGTGCAATAATATAATGTTGGTGGCCCATTAATATTATTTAATTAATTAGAGGAGTGGGCTTGGCCCAGAGTTAGTCTAATTAATTAAGGAGTCATTTTCCTAATCTCCTAAGGGTCCCTACTGTAGCTCTATATATACATCATTAAGGTCATGAGAAGAGAATCCCAATCTCATTCTAACGAGACACGCCCCACGTCTCTCTCTCTCTAGATCTCATTGGAACTTTATCTTCTTCTTGCTGCTCCACTGGTACAAGTTGAAGAAGGGTGTATTGAGTAATACAGTAAGAGATCTGTAGGTAAACCGAGACGAAATATATTTTGACCTACAGAACTAACCAGAAGTCCGATTGAGACGTACAGCATACCCAGACGACCGTCTCGACGAGAGCTTTCCATCACCGCCAAGATCGCAGTCGTACGAAGCCTCACGCGCCCTCACGCACCGCCGGAAGCTCCCAAATTGCAAGTTTCGTTTTGATCTATTTGCATCCGTTTGATCCGATTTTGATCTGATCTTGTTCGTGCAACCCAAGACGTGATTTGCGGTCAATCAGTTGCGGTCAACCGTTCGTGGTCAACCAGATCTACATAAATTTTAAGCCGTATGTTCTCTACGTCAAACCTTTAGATCCGCTGCGGATAGATTTACGTTTGTTATTGAATTCGTGACTTGTACATAACGAGATCCTCGCAGATCCCAACATGAACAACTTAAATGTTGTTGATTTCTTTTTTTATGTACTAAATTTACTATATGTTTTTTCTTTTCCTTTTTCTGAGGTACATACGAAGAAGAGGAATAGACTTGAACATTCAAGATTGAATGCTTTGGTCTTTGTGAAGTACAAGTATAAATTAAGGCAGAGAAGTATTAGAAGGAGAGAAAAGATGGATCCCATTATAGTTGATGAAATTGATTCAAATGATGAGTGGATAACAGGGCTAGAAGACCCCTCTCCCGAATAATACTGCTTAACTTCTTGATGATGAGCTGTTTGAATGGGATCCTACTGTTAATGTGCAGTCGGGGAATCTTTGATAGCCTTTTGGATTTAGATAAGCGAGTCGATATTGATGTTGATAATGAAGATCAAAATTATTCTCCAATTATAAAGAAGAAAAGAGTTGGTGAAAGCTCAAGTAAGTATGCCCATTTAAAACAAAAAAAAAAAAACAAAAAACAAATATTGATAGTTCTTAAATTCTATTTGTATGTAATAGGTAGAAATAAGGATCCTATTGACATTCATGATGATGAGGAGATGTAAGAATTTGGTGAAACTCGACCAATGATCTTTGATAGTGGAAATCTCCCAAACTTTGATAGTATTAACATGATAGCCAAATTCAATTAGATGACACCGATTATTTTTAGATTTTGAGTCTTTACTTTAAACATTAAGACTTTGATTCTTTGTAAGAATTAATATTTGAATGTTATTTTATGTATTTAATGTCCAAGTTTATGTTTAAGACCATTTCAATTATTTATTTACTTGTATGGTTATATATATTATTATTTTTGACATTAAAATTGAATTGCTCGAATAGCTTACGCAATGCGCTACGCTATTTTCGCTACGCAATATAAGGACCAAAACGCGACACGATGCGCGATGCGCATTTTAAAACACTGGTAGACAGAAAGCAAATATCACAGTACATGATTCAACTAACTACATTTATCCTCTGGTGGTTGTGAAAATCACGAAATCTATGGAAATTCCAGCATACTTCGGTGGTAGACTTCGTGGTTGTTAACTCTGCTTGGAGAGAATGGATGGAGTTCAGAGCTTCCAGGTGCTAGGTTGATGTATGGTGCAAGGTTGGGTGTTCTAGATCCTTTGGTTCAGTGGTTCTCCTCCCTTGTTACTGTGTTTTTGTTGCTCTGAGCAAATTTTTTTCTAGTTTCTGTTTGTGTTTTCTAGCTTGAAGTTTCAGCTGCTTGTGTTGTTTTCAGCTGGTTTGGTGTGTTGAGCTTTGTTGTTTAAGTTGGACTAGTTAATCCTTCGGTTGTAAAATGTTCCGTGTGTTTTTGGACTAGTTAGTCCTTCGGTTGTAAAATGTTTGTATTTTTTCTTTGGGATTTCTTCTATTATTTCGAAGAAAAAAAAAAAGAAAAAGACCTGTCCAGATTCTGACGCCTATGCTCTCCACTTGTTCAAGAATAATAATATAATATTCTAATAACTGCTCCTTATTTTTCGAAAGTATAAATGCGAAATAAAAGAAGGGATAATGTTCAAGAGATAATTGTGATGTTATGTTTAACATCTATCAGATAATAATACGACCAATGGACAATAATAAATAATACACACGGACCCCAAAAACACTAGATAATAATAGAAATAAAAATAATAGTCGAAATAAAAACAGAAATAGAAAGAAAGAAAAGGGTATAAGGTGTCGACTTCTTAAGCTCCCTGTCCATGTTGGGAGCGTTACGTGTCCCTTGAAGCTTTTCCCATTGACATGAAACTCCCACGAATTTGGACCACCCAATTTTAAAAATAACAAATAAAAAAATATTCAGTTTGTGATTATGATACATTCCAAAAACCTATCAAAAAAATCAATCTCATCATCAACAGCACCTTATTAATTAATCTGCAGTTTATGGTCAACAACTCAACCCCAATCGATGGCTGACCCAAATAATGCTCACATGCTTACACACATTCCACATAAAACTGAATTATATGCATCATTTGTTTAAAATCCCTTAAAACATTAAACTTTTCCATATCTAATGCTTCACCAAAGCTGCCTGTAAAATATGTACACAACTTTCAAGAACCCCAAACTACAACTATACACAAACCGTATACATTTTCAACTAATCCTAAGCTTACTGCAAGCTTTTCACAATATAACCAGTCAAATTCTTGATAACTACCTCATCAGAACACACATATTATATCTCACTCACCCTACACACCACAGTATGATTTTCAGAGATTTATATATTAAAATTCAAATTCACCACACATCATCAGAATGGAGCTCTGTGGGGTTTGCCTTTCCTTCTACTCGAGTTCGTGTGGTTGAACGGCGGAGGAGTTGCCGGAGATAGATTACCGTTGTGGCCGGAAAAATCATCTGAGCTACCGGAAGTCGAGTCGCTATCCAAGAACCGGTTAAATGCATTCCCTCTCTGAATCTTTTTCGGAGTCGAGAGTTCGAACGAGTCGGGCTCGTCTAAAGTGTCTCTGCTGTGTTTGGCCTTCACCAAAAATGTGAGCTCAAGATCACCTTTCTCTATGGCACTCAGCTGTTTAAATTGAATATTAGAGTGTGATTCAAATGGAGACCCCAAGGCAAGAAATTCAAACAATGGGTTCTAATTTGGGAAAAAGAAAAATAATGACATGAGATTACACAAAAAGAAGGTTTTGCACAACTCAATTACAATTTACAAGACAGAAATGTAATGGGAAAGAAAATGTCACCAAACAAACAGGTTATATGAGAACACAACCAATTCAAGACTAAGAATGCCATCACAGTGCAACACCAATACCAATACAAGACATCAAAATCAATTTTCAAACCAAAACACTCGAAACAATCGGATAAATGAGTAGTTGAGTTGAAGAAACTGACCTTGCAGCCGAGAGAACAGAATCTGAAAGAGTCGGGAAGGCCACGAGCACAGATTTCGCAAGTGTAAGTGATTCCTTTGCCTGGCCTCGGCTGTGGCCTCTCGTTCAAGAATACAATCTTAGCACTGTTGATCACATATGTCTGAATGCACGATATGTCGATGTACTTTTGAATCTCATTCACCCTCACCACATTATGATACGAAGATCGCCTTATCTGAAATCACACGAAACTCGATTCTTTCATATTTTGACAAATTGACTAAACAATCCCAAAGAATCTCAAGAAATCTCCTGTATTCGAATGACTGAATGAAAAATTACAGCAGAGTTAGAGTGAGCACCTGAAGAACGTGATGGTTCTTGTGCTGGCTCAGGCAGTAAGAGCAGAAGGCATTGCCCATGCAGTCCAAGCAGAACAAATTGCACTCGCTTTTATGAGAATCCAAATGAAGTGGGCAGGGCGAAAAGTAATCGGCCCTCAGCATTGGTTTCAGCCATGGAGGCCCAATCTCCTCATTTCGCATTGTCACAATGGGGCTCACCTGACAAAAAAACAGAAAAGAACACAAAAACAAGAAGAATAAGAAAATCAACTCAGTAATTGACGGGTATACAGGCAACCATGACTCGAAACGCTAAATAGTAAATACTCGCTTATATTTGGCTAAAAAATGAATCTTTTTCTTATCGAATTCTTTATCCTGTCTTCGTTTGTACTCTGTTTTTAAGCATAGAGTGAGATTGAAAAAAATACCATGATTAAAACGAACGGCCTTTTTTCCGGGTTCAGAGTTTCAAACGGAACGGAATAGGAATCTGCGGAAAAACAGAAGAGAAAAGGCGCATTAGCATATGCTTGTTGTGTGTGAAGAAAATGTAAAACAGTGAGGAGAAAGGAAAATACGCCGCCAAAAGAAACAAGAAAGAGAAAGATAAAACCCTCCTCCAGAAACCTCGGCAGATAAGGGAGATGACGAAATAATATCACCTAATATCCCAAAAAACTACAGCAAAACCATGGAGTATGTGCGTTTCTTTGTGTGTGTTTTCACGTATGAAGGCTTACCGATGACGAGCGACAGCGGAGGAAGACGGCTAGGCTTTTGGACGGTGGTGACTGATTAGAGGTGAAAGACTACTAAAAGCAAAAGAATTTTATAAGGCGGTCACTTTTTTAGGAGCATCAATTAGCACAGAAATTAAAATATTTTATTAATATCCTGTAAAATAAGCATTGGCATTTTACACCAAGAATTGTGGAAAACGTAATTGAAAAAATAATAATAATAATTCTAAGGAAGGAAATCAAAGTGGGGAATTTTTATAAGGCGGTCACTTTATGGGAGCAGAATTAGTAAGGAATAAAAATCAATATTTGGCGTAAAAACTATATTATGTTTAATTAATAATTTTAATGCATTTGATTTGATAAATGTTGGTATATAATATGGGGGAGATAACGTGCCAAAGGGAATTTAATTATACGGCCAATATTTTTCTCACACGCTGAGTTGCGTATGCGGTTGGGCACATAAATCCACGGCCTAGATTCTGTTTCTGTTATCAAGACTCCATCCTCACCTTCGGTTTTTAGTATTTTTAATCATTGTGTAGAATAATTCTCTATTTAATACCAGAGTCATACAGTATTTCTTAATATTTTGCTATATATGAAGATCAAAGAAGTTGTCAGTTGTGTAGGAAGAATGTGCACCATGTTTTCTACGAATGCATTGGATCTAATTTTACTTAGGTGACATGTAAATAGACTTAAAAGTCTTGAGTGACATGTACAAAAAATATATAAAAATAACAAAATTAACTTCAATGCAAAGAGACTATATCTACACTTGGGTCTAAAATAAACTTAAGGGCAAACCGAATCTCTTTTTATTGCTGCTACATCAATAGGGCCCCGTCTATTTGAGTTTGCATTGTATTTTATATTTTTCTAGACTTGGTCTATTTCTTACGTGAAATGTATAATTTTTAAATGAACTCAAAGCATTGTTGATGCTTTAATAGTGCGCAAACTATAGGTGTTGGTATATGTGTTATATGGATACTTTTTCAAAGATATACGTATTTGATTATATCTATATAATATTTAATCATAACTATAGTATCACAATTACTGAAATATTTATTTTAAATATATTAATCAATTTTTTCTTTGAGTTAATATTTTCATTTAAGTGAATTTGATATCAATTAATAAAATATAACCATTAAATTGCATGAACTGATAACTATTAAGAAATGAATAATGATGAGAGATAGATTGAGTATTAATATAATCTACTAGATATAGTCGTTGTACTTACAAGTTATAATGGATGGTACGGTTCGGAGAATAAGAAATCTCCAAAACCGAAAATCAGAGATCACTAAAATTCAATTTCTGGAATCGTACTGAAAAATTGGTTCAATTCGAATATTTCTATTTTCCGATTTGGTTCTGGTAGGTGTTCGCGAGAAATGGGATAGTTCAGAACGATTCAATTTAGTTCGGAACTCTAGAAATTTCTAATTATGTTTTAATTTTTTCGAATAACTATCTAATTATATTTAAATTTTGATATATTGTTTAAAAAAATTAAAACATTCACCAATGCTTGAAACCTATTAAATATTTTGTTCTAAATGATATTTAAAAAATTGAAGTAACTCAAAATTTTACGTAAGACTAAATTGTGCAACTAATGATGAAAATTTAATATCTATATAAAATATAATATTTTTTTTTTTAGCATTTTTTTGTACTTTTCATCCAATTTTAATTGTAAGATGGAATAAAACTAAGAGAAGTATCAAAAAATATAATATAAGTATATTTTTCAGTTAATTATAGATCAAGTATGGTAACGCAAAACACTCCGACCGGCTTGGAATCGGTTTGCTTCCTTCTTCCTCGCCGATAGAACGCCGCGTCCCTGCACAGAACTCTCACACCGGTGGGGTTTTCCGGTGAAGAGCCTCCGATGCTTAAGTCAGTATATGTTTGTTCAATTTTCCAAAGTAAAGAATGGATAAATCGTAAACTCTAAGAAAAGACCCACTCCTATATATATAGGAGTGGGATACCTGCCCCAAGAGCTGCCCGGATATTTGGTGAGCTGTCCTGCCCGCGCTGCCCGTCCGTACACACACTGTGTGTGTATTGTCAGAAATGTCAAGGGTGTCAGAGGTGGTTATTGCCGCTATTACTCTGCACCAGTATATTCTCGTCACGTGTCCCCTCTGAGCTGAGGGGAATTATTCCTTTGCGCAGGCCGTTGGGATCTCCTGTCATCACCCACGCGCCTACTCGCGTTCAGGTCACGCTCTCGACTACCTCCTACCAGTTGTATGCCCTATATGATCGAGCTCCCCCTCGCTAGGTCGATCCTCGACCAACTCTGCTGTTCTGCTCGACATCTTCCATTTTGGTCGATCATCCTTCAACCAACGTAGTTTTCTCTCCTATGCCTGCCTGACCGACATGACGAACCGGTCTGCTCCTTAGTCGTATAATATCCCACATCATCTAGTCCCCCCCACTCTGGTCGAGTCTGAATGACTCGATCTAAGAGTGGATTCGAGCCGTCCTTTCCATTTTGTCAATCCTCCCGATCTCCTACTCGTACCTGCTCTCTTCTCTCGATCATTTTTGTTGATGTCGATGCCCAGCCTCTTTTCTCGACCATTTTCGCTGATGTTGGCACCTTTCTTCGACCACATGGTTCATTTTAATGCGCATCATAACTGTCTTTTATTTCCTTTTATTATTCAGCGTGGTTTCCGCCTGCCACATGTCCTCTCACTCTGCACTTTTCATCATTGCGCCTCCTCGTGATTTGTGTCGCTTCGTTATCTGCGGCCCTTTAATATTTTCCACCGTTGGATCTTCTTTTATCCAACGGCCATATCCACTAACTCTTCACCTTATTCATTTGTACTCATATAAATGCAATACTTAGCCCTTTTTTTCCACTTTTCCCACTTTGCAATTTCGAACTCTCTGGCATTCTGCTTTCTTTCTCTGCAAGTTTCTCCTTCCTGCACTCGGCGCCTCTTCCAGCAATTTCCGACGACCACTTCTCTACCGCGACCATGAGTAAGTTTCCTGTGCTTCCGTTTTATATTTGCGTGCGTTTATTTTGTCAATTTGCGATTTTTCCTGGAACTTCTTCTTTTTCCCCAAATTCCGCCTGTGACAGAAAACCTCCCTTTTCAAAAACCCTAACTCCTTTTCTCTTCGCCTTACTTTCTCGCTCTACTTTTCAGATTCCGTTGATTCTAGCGCACCAAGCCATCACTCCGGTGAGGATGAGACATGCACATCATCGTTTCCCGTTCGCCAACCTATTCCTCATTCGCCTTCTCGTTCTGTTGAGGAGATCTACAACCCCGTCCCTATTAGTGTCCTACGCCCTTCCGATTACACCACTCCTTCTCCTCCTCGCCAATCTACCCGTCTGATTGATGAATCAGATGAGGATACTCTTAACCACATCCCTCTCAATCGTCGTCGGCCGGCTTTTGGGGCCTCTGATGCCTTTGAAGAGGCTCTCGATGCTGCCGAGGTAGCCACGGGAGGTGATGAAGATGACGTTCCCCTCTCCCAACACTCCGTGGTTGCCAAAGTTGCCTCATCGAGCAAGCCAAAACAAAACTTTTCTTCCTCGCCTATCTCGAAACCTTCCAACACTCCTCTTTCACCGACCCGCTCAGGTCCTACTGCTGCACCCTCCAAGCCTACTAAGAGGAGGAGGTTAGTCAAGGCTTCTTCCTTGAATCAGCCCTCTTCTCATCCTCTCATCGCCGGCTGGCTGGACATCAACGAGGTTGGTCACCCGACTAAGTGGGCGTTCGTATCTCCTGGTCCTAAGGACACATATGACAATCCCCCCAAGGGTTGTTATATCTTTTTCGAAGTGCAGTTTAAGCTTGGTATCCGCTTTTCATTGTGCCAAGATCTGATCGATATCTGCCGGTGGTTCGATCTGCCCGTGAACCAGCTTCCTCCCAATGCTATCTGATTCATTACCATTTTCCTCATTCTTTGCCATGTCCGTCTAGGTCGGCTCGACCTCAATTTCTTCCACTATTGCTACGCCCCCTCGAAACACCCTCAAGGGCTCTACCTCAAAGGCCGAGCCGATATTCACTTCATCTCCGACACCCCTACCAACGTCCCGAGGTGGAGAGATAGGTTCGCCTTTGTCGAGCCTAGTCCTGCCTTCCCTTGGGAGCCAATTCCGTGGCGTAAGGAGCTCACCCGTGATACTGCGGTGCCTCCTCAGAATGCCCTCTTCGACCAATGGATCGCTGTGTGGAACACCAAGCCTGTTGCGTTGAAGACTTTACTTGAGGATGAAAACCTTTTGCATTTCTGTGGCCTTCTCACTCACAAATCACTTCCCCTTCCTTCCCATAAGATATTCGATCTTATTCGAATTGTAGACGATCCAGGTATTTTCATTTTATTAAGTGTGCCTGGCATTATTGTATTGCTATATGATTTTACCTGCTATAACCCTGGCTTTGTTCATGATTTTTGACAGAGATGCCGACTATCTCTGTGCCCAAACGGAGTGCTCCTCTCAAAAGGAAGCAACCTGGTGAGGGGTCGAGCTCGAAACCGGCTAACTCGATCGCCTCTCAGTCCACCCGCTCTGCTTCACCTCCTCCCGAAAAGATTGTCGACCTGCCTACTTCGACCGACTCTCCCTCGGGCCTACCGACCAAAGGGCCCGAGCAAACAACACAGCTCGAGAGAACAGTATCTTCTCCGCCGCGCTCACCCCCTCGTGGGCAGACCTCTCCTACCATCCATATCCCTGCCTCTCCCGAGCGAAGTCGACTCGAGGAGAGTCCACTCAAGCGATCCCTTGCTGACGGGGAGGAGAGTCTCAGCAAGCGTCGCCGCGTCGAGGAGACGGCTCTCTCCATCACTGCTCTTGACGGCCCCGGATTCTCGCTCTACCTTAGGGACATTCTCCCCCCAGTCGACCGTCCTACCGATCGTTATAATGACGGTCGCACTCTTCGGGATCGAGGCCAACGGCTTGCCCACTGGCTGGCTCAGGTAACTTATTGTCTCTTGGTATTTATCCCCTTTCGTTCTGCCTTCTTTCGTTGTTGACGCTCTAATCCTTTCTTATTGCGCGCTCTTGCAGGGGATGGTCGAGCTCGCGCCGTTAATCGAGCAGACTCTTGCGAGCCCTGGTCGATCTATCTCCGCCCTCGAACGGAGCAATCTCCAACTCAGCACCCAGTTGGA